TTCGAGATCTAGCAGGATCATCTGAGGATTCCTTGAGTCAGCTGCCCTTGTTCGGGCAATCGCAGCCGGCATGCTCTTTGAGGCAAAACCAGCAAAGGTGATATCCCTTGGCGCACCGTTGTCCGGGCTTTTTCTTGGCCCAACACTTGCCGCGGCTGAATAGGAAGCAAAGAGGCTTGCCATCCGCAGTCTTCGTGTGAGCACCGTCTGGGACGGAGATGTTCGCCGATGAGTCCGAAGGGGCCGTCGTCTTGCCTTTGTCCTTCCCCTTCCCTTTGCCTTTCCCCTTTCCGTTGTTGGGGGTGTAAGGTTCCCACCGAGGAACTGAAGGAACTCGAATCTCGGGCTGAGGGACGAGGTAGGAGAGGACATCGCTTGAGGAGCTGAGGCGCGCGATGATGGGATCACAAGTCGGCGTGCTGCCCGGCCGGGATACAATCTTCCCTCGAACTTCTTCTGCAAGGAGGACCCAAAGGCGCTTATCGGCATCAAGAATTTGTTGAAGGCTGACTTGCTTCATGCTCTTCGGGACCTCGCGCTCGCGGACGGTGTAGAGGTACGTGTGCCAAGTCTCAGCAACCTGGAAGCTCACCAAGCCAGCAAGGTCCATGGCAAGAGCCTTTCTCTGAAGGGCCATGCGAAGCTTCCACTCGCCCGCCGTGGAGCATTCGAGGTCGTCCCCCTTTGTTGCTACCCGGAGTTGGCCGTCTGATCCCAGGGCGAAGGTCTTGGCCTGCTTGATTTGCAAAGACTCCTGGGCGCGGCTGGTGCAAAGCTCAGGTCGAATGTAAGTCACTGTCTGCTCTTCCACCATGGTCACGAAGCGATCCACTAACTGATGCGAAGGCTCTGTCTCCGGGGACCAAGTCAATCCTGATAGACGGGCTCGCTGGGACTCGGACCGAGCGACTCGCTCCGACGTAGGGAGCTTCTTGAGAACTGTTTCGGCCCCATGCTCCTGCCTGAGCCGTAGATCACGAATGGCTAGCCCATGAGATTCCCAGAACAAGCGGCGGAGGCACGAAAGCTGCCCCGCATCCGGTGCTCCACTCAGGACAGTGGTGAGGAGATCGATCAAAGGGGTCTCATCGCCATTTCCGGGCTGATACGGAACACTGAAAGCATACTGCCCAAACGTTGTGAAGCCAGCACTTATCAAGGCATCCACGCTGGTGGCCGAAACCCCGAGCTGCAAAGCTCGCCGCTTGAACTCAACAGCTGAGTCCAACTCGGAGGTGGCCATGGCTCAGCTATGTGGTCGCTGTAAGCCGCCGCTGCCCATAGTTTGGCTCAATGGATGACACATGCCAGGCCAAGCGCACTGAAGGCGTGCAGGGCGTGTCACACACAGCATAGGAGACGACACGATGCTGAAGCTTTGGTTTCGCAGACAGCGAGGCTCCAGAAACGATGAGGGATAGTCGGTTTCGTCATAGACGAGCACCCTCCGCTGTATTTGCCAGGGAACTCGGTCCCCTCCGATGGCACAGCTCCCACAACACGAAAGAGGGGGCACGGTTTCACCACGATGTGAAACCCCCTCCGCTGTATTTGCCGGGGAACTCGGTCCCCTCCGATGGCACAGCTCCCGCATCTCGAAGGAGGGGGCACGGTTTCACAACGATGTGAAACCCCCTCCGCTGTATTTGCCAGGGAACTCGGTCCCCTCCGATGGCACAGCTCCTGCAGCGCGAAGGAGGGGGCACGGTTTCACCACGGTGTGAAACCCCCTCCGCTGTATTTGCCAGGGAATTAGGTCCCCTTCCGATGGCACGATCCCAGCGAATCCAATTGCCTGGGAACGACACGATGCCGGGCAGTGTTTCATCAAAGATTGATGGGCCCGGACACGTCAAGAGTACGAGCAGCACCGTGAGCAAGCCCGCGCCGGTCAGATCAAAATGTGCACAACATTTTCGAACTAGGCTCCTGACCGAATCTCAGTCCTTCGAGAAAACTACGCTACAGTGCTTGCAGGCCTGCACGTCTCCCTCTTGCGAAGTCACACCCTCCAAGCAGGAGTAATGACGATTGAGGGGGCGGCCACACAAAAGCTTCTGCAGGTCAAAACTTGCGTGCATGATCCCAGAGATATTGTGGACATACAAGTGCCGTCGAGGAACCGAAGCCAACGATTCAGGGACCGCGATCTCCTTCACGCGGTCACTCGGCTCAAAAGCTGTCGAGGGATCAATGTCGTTCAAGTCCGGCTCGGATCCAGACTCAGAAGGTACGTACTCACCTAAGTCGGGGTCCTCCTCTTCGCCTGAAGTCTCACCTAGAAGCTCCATGACACGGCGAGCCCTCCCGCGATCAGGAGAAAAGGAGCCATCGAGGATCTTGTCCAACAAGCGGCGAGTCTGGACGGCGAGCGGAGTGTAGCTGTCTCTGCTGTAGATGAGCACAGACCTGGACTCCCTATCGAAATGGTGGCCCATCAGCTTTTGGTCACGCTCGCTCCACCCTCCATGTTTGCTTATCCATGAGAGAAGGGTGGCCTTCAAACCATGAGATGTGATGCCCTCGACTTCGCTGGGCGACGATTCCGCCTTGCACAAGAGGTCGCGAAGCCACAAAGTAGCCTCGGTGGAAGACATAGGCGCCTTGCCGAATTCGCCAGTCCTCTCGCAGTAAGTGGGCAAAGCAGGGCCCGTCGAGTCGAGGCCGAAGAGACGGCGCGAAGCTAACCAAGCATCCGCCCACGGCTTATGGTAGAGGCCCCTCCCTAAACATATCAGGGGGAGCAAAATCGACCTGTCACGTGCAGCATGCGAAGTCTTGTGTTTTGAAGTTGCAGTTTCTACCAAGTAGATGCGACCAGCACTCGAAAGAGAGATATCAGCCAGATGGAGAGAATCATCCCACCTAGCACACGAGTAGAGGGCGAAAAGGACCTGGCCCCCTATCAACGAATCCAAGCTGGGGGCAGACTCAACCACGTGCTTCTCGAGGGCCCACACCTGGTCAGCCGTGAGGACCTCGGATTGTTTGGTGGGCCTCTTCCGAGCCATCTCCCCACGAGCCAGACCTTCGCACCGCGATGAAAACTCGATCTCCTTCGGTAGACCCTTGATCTTAACAACCCCATGAATGAATCTGATGGCAGAGAGCACCGACGAGGCGGCCGTGGCTCCCCGTTTCTGCTCCCTAAGAAGGCTCAGGTACTCATAAAGAATCTCCTCCTGGAAATCCAAAGGAGGAACCCCTTTGTCGTTGAGGAAGCAGCAGCAGCTCCACAAAGAAGAAACTCGCTTTAAAAGAGTGCCGGTGCTCTTCGAAACAAATGCATCGCGGAAGCTGCGGGCCACCACTTCCTCGTCCTGAAGGGCCCCGGCCGCGTTGACCAAGGCACAACCCAATTCTGATGAAGAAGGGTCCTGAAGGACAATGGTACGAAGCTTTCTCAGCTGCAAGGCACGGACCTCAGACTCATCACGATGTAGATTGCTAAGACGAAGCCTCTTCCTGACGAAGTCCGGATACGAGTGCTTAGGCATGGAAGTCGGGGCCATCACAGCCGGCTGAGCAGAAGGAACAAAAAGATCTCCGACTCCCACAGAGTGATGCTTGAGTGTTGGCTTCAAATGAGACGGCAGAGCAGCCCAAATGCCCTGCTCCCACGGAAACTTCGGAGCAGACTCGGAGATGCTCCTGCTTATGGCCGATGCCAAGAAATTCTCATAAGACATTCTCTGACCATGACCCATCTGCAATTCCGATCGCACCCCCGATGACGATGAAGGCTGGGAATGAGTCATCGGAGCAGATATAGAGGTAACGGCCGCAGCCGGCTCAGAAGACGGATTAGCCCATGAGTCATCAGATTCCTCAGCTAAGCCGAACGAACCTGCCGCATCATCCCAAGGAGCTTCTGCCGAATCACCCCCCTCCATCTCAGAAGCTTCGAATGGCATCTGATGGTTCATTGGCTAAGGTTGAGCGCAGAAGAAGCAAGCTCGAAGACGCCAGCTGACACGCAGAAAGTAAAAACGATCAGCTGGAGACATGTGGATCCAGACTAGCCGTACAACATCGTAATGTTCGGCACAGCAAAGAAAGCGACTGGAAGCAGTACTGCCTTCCATGGCTGGACCCACCAAGAAAAAGTTCGCAATACGATTGCCCGAGCTTGATGCGAAAACGGTGCGCGGGCACTCTCTTCAAAGCATGTACAAGTTTACAAGTGAAATCATGTCGACATGAAGGAACGGACGTTGTTCCATAAAAAAAGTACAAAAGTCATCATGTAAATTCCATGACGATTTCATACAAAAGATTCAGAACTGTTGTTGTTGGTTTGGAATGTCAGCAACCAAAGCTTGGACAAATGGAAAACCGCTCGTTACCTCGCTGCCCCACCCAAAGAAAGGTATATCAACTTCGTTGACGCTGACCGTCTTGGTATTCGCAGTTTTGCTTGCAGGCGTGAGAAAATTTTTGTCCCACCCGCCCGCCCTTCTGGTGTGGGGGAATGGCATCAGTTGCCTTTTGCTTGCTGGAAATTTTTCACTTGCAGGAGTATGCCGGAAACCTCGTGCAGGACACCTTTAGCTTTTGCCATCTTTGTACATCGGCCACGAATGTGGAGCCAAAACCATCAGTCTGCACCCCTCGCTCTAAAAAGAAGGCGATTTCGCGGAGCGACTAAGTTGTCTTTTCTGTTTTCATAGCTGCCGGTCCAGCAGCGCAATGATTAATTATTTATCGTTTTGTTTCATGTTCTGAGATGTGAGATTTGACTCACAACTTTTATTTGAAACCAATTTGCATTTAACACAACTTCACTCAAACAACACGTGTATTTCGATTGCACATGTGATTGAAGTTGAACCATGCGTGCATACCCGCGCCGCTTCCAAACAGCATGGCTCATCGCACACGTGCAACACGACACTTGGTCTGCTCATGAGCCACGCACTTGGGCATGCACTGTGCAGAGCTTTGCTAAGAATTTTCACTGCCCTTAGGGCTCCGTGCAAGCCCCCTGTGGATGGGGGCGGATGGACCCGGCTGCTGAGCCGGCTGCTGAGCCGGATTCCGAGGCCGACAGCACGGTTTCGACCGTGAGTGCCATCAGTCGGCACGTTTCGGACTTGCAGCGGGATCACTGGGCTTTGCTAGAGCAGTTCCGTGCCGCACAGCAGGACATACAGGTGCTTTCGGATCGCTGCGAGTATCTTGAGGGCCGGATCCGCGTCTTAGAGTCCTTTGAGAATCGCATCCGAGCATTGGAGTCTGCCCGTGATTATACTAATCACCGTGTCGTGTGGCTTGAACGCATTGTGCAAAGAGTTCGTGCATTTGCTGCTCAACTTGCATAACTTGACTCTGGCCACAAATCTGTGTGGGCCATGAAACGTCACTCTGACAGCCTAACAGACTTGGTCGCGCACTCACAGCTGTGCGATTACAGGGCCAAACGCATTCAGATGCCTTGGGATCAGGGGGTTTTTGGTCTAGTCTTTGGGTCCCCTAGGCCTCCCGCACCCTTGGTTCCCCTTCCAAGCCCACCGCCTCAGCTTGCTGCCGGTGTCAGTTCGGCGATACAGCAGGCTCCGCAGGATGCTCTGCCTTCGGCCACTCAGGCCTTTGCTCGGCAGCGGGCTCGTTTTGCTGCACTGATCCGGTCAGATGATTCTGTGCGCTTTGAGGCGTTACGTAAGATTAAGACCCTGACTTTACTTGATCCTGCGGCATCGGAGCTGGGGCGGCTTCTCATCAGCGAGGCCGCTATCTTGTCTGACCCTGAGAGACTTCAGAAGTCCTTTGCCGACACGTTCGCTACAAAGAGCACTGCAACATTGGCCAAACGAGCTTCCTCTTTCTGGAAGTTTGCCGAGTTTTGCTTGATGTTCGATTTTGGCTCGCCCTTTCGAGCGAGCGAGGCGGCTGTCTATGCATATATCCAGGACTTGCAGGCCCACGGAGCTCCCACATCGGCCAAGGCCTTTCTTGAAAGCTGGAATTTTCTGTCAGCGCTGCTGGGTTTCGCAAAACTTGCAGGCCAATCTCCTTTGTCAGGCCGTGTGCGAGGAGCTGCTGCAGCGTTGGCGGCCACCAAGAAGCCGCTGGTCCAGGCCTCACCATTGTCAGTTCCAATGATTCGGGCTCTGGAAAGAATCGTGGTGAAACCCCCGTATCCTCATTGGCGTGTGATTGCCGGGCACATCCTTTTTTGTGTGGGAAGCTGTTCTCGCTTTTCGGATACAATCCACCTCAAATCTCTAGAGCTTCAGAGTGCGGGAACTGTACATCTTTTGGAAGCATCCTCTGCATCTTACAAGACTGGTACTGGCGAACGGAAGACCATACTTCTGCCGCTTGGGATCTTTCGTGTACCCCACGATTTGGGCGCCGCTGTGGATGGAAGCCCGAGCTGATGCTGGCCTCGGCCTCAATCCGTCACTGCCTGCATTCAGCGAAGCCTCGCAGTCTTGGTTGGAGCGTCGCATGTCTACTGGAGAGCTTACCATGTACTTGCGTGAGTTCCTCGTAGCCAGTCACATCGACATTCCTTCGGAGTCCCGCATCAGCAGCCACAGCATGAAGGCCACCTTTCTCAGCTGGCTAGCCAAATTCGGAGGAGTTTCTTTGGAGGACCGCCGCATTGCAGGGCACCATTTGGACCCTGATTCCCGGTCCCCTCTGACCTACAGCCGTGACGAGCTGTGCCGCTTGATGAAGATTTTCGAGGACATCCTGAAAGCCATCCGTTCCGGCCATTTTAAGCCTGATGACAGTCGCGTGATGCGTTTAGCTGTCATGGTTCAGGCTGAGTCAGGCCCTCAGCTGCAGGAGAAACTCCTCGAGCAGGACCCATATGTCTCCGACTCCGAAGCTGGTGCTTCCGACATCAGCCCCGAGGATCTGGAGGCCCGAGCCGGTGGAGTCCCCCTGGACGATGGCTTGAACGCTGCTCAGATTCCTTCTGTCTACAGCAAGATGCACATTTACAGTCGTACAGTGCATATACAGGCTGCTGAAGGTGCCAAATTTTTGTGTGGCCGACCCATCACCCGCAATTTTGACGAGCTGGACAAGGCCGTACCGGCCTCTGATCTGCTTGTTTGTAAGCGGTGCAGCCAAATCCACCGAGCCAGTTAAATAGCTGGCGCACGTATTGCTCTTCTCGCAAAAGAAAGCCTCTTCAGCACGAGCAGCCGAAAGACCCGGGTAATCGGAGAAATTTCTCTCCCAGCCTGCAGTGGTCTCGAGGGTGGTGCCAAGCCGGGTCTGTGAGCAACTACATCTGCGCTGGCGGTACTCGGGGCACCTTAACCCCAAGCCGTTGGACGCCATGGAACATTGTGCGTCTTGCAAGCTGTTTTCCGCATCCCCGGTATCCGGCACCATCCCTGGCAATCTTTCATGCTGTGTGGTACACTGCGTAAGCTGCGAGCGTCTGGAGTCCTTTACAGCTCTTGTCCACATGTGCAGTTTTGTTCAAGCCGGCTGCCGTGTGAACCATGTCCAGCCTCGACAGCAAGGCGGCCTTTAAGGCCAGAGCAGTCGAGCTCAACTTTCCCGAGGAGACCCTGAAAAAGCTCGCGGCCATCAATGTGGACACGTTCGGAGCTCTAGCCTTTATCGGGCCTCTTCAAGCTGGCACGACCGATGAGGGCCCACTCATCAGCATGCTGAAACGTGCTTTGGGTTCAGAGCCTGACGACGCGCTTATGAGCATCGCTCGCCGCCTGTGGTTCGAAAGCACCACTCAGGCTCTTGCTGAAATGCGTGGCAAGGTCGAGCGCACCGATGCTTCTGAACCAGTTCGGATGCCTTTGGCCGAGCGCACACAACGCCTTGCTGCTCTTCAGAAGCGACTTGTGGGTATTCACTGGACCTCCGACATTGAGCCTTCCCATAAGCTACAAGACTTGGTTGCTCAGATGGTGTCTGATCAGTCCTTGCTTTGGATTCCGTGGGATCGCCTCACGAGCCGAGCTTTGGAAATTACGTCTGACAAAACCGATCAGGCGGTCAGCTTCGACAGTGCCGGGAACCTCAAGCTCGTGAAACGGTCAGCTGAACCTTCTTGCAGTACCATCGGAGAATATGCCGTCAAGCTGGCACTTCAGAGGAGGAGTTTGGCTTTCGAACTAGCCCGAGTCTGCCGCTACGAGTACCTCGAGTCCTGGCATGACCAGCTGCTGCAAGTGCATATGCGCTCCCAACCTTCAGGCCATCAAAGAGTTTCGATTGCTCAGCTTCGTGAAGCCGACAAGTTTCTGTGGACGAGGATCGCCGAGGATACGCGTGGCTCACTGTCCATGCGCTCAGATGGCTCGTACCCCTTCGAGGCCTCGCTTGCAAAGTGGAAGGATCACACGCAAGTTCAGTGCTACCTACTTCCGCTGATGCGATCACCGCCTCCACCTCCGACTCCACACACTCCCAACATCCCGCCCAACAAGGACGGGAAAGGAGGCGGAAAGGACAAAAATCAGAAAGGGCTCAAGATTCGCAAGGACACTCCCGGAGCGGAGAAACCCAGTGACTCAGGAGCCAAGAAGTGGAGCGTCCCGCAGGGTTGCCACTCGCAAGATTCGACCGGCAAGCCCCTTTGTTTCAGCTTTAACACAAAAGGCTGCGGGTTTGCCAAACCCGGCAAGCGCTGTCGCCGCGGCCGCCATCTGTGCTGGAGGTGCCTGGAACCGCATCCGGCTTCCGAGTGCCCGGAGTTTCAGTGACCAGATTCTGCAGCTGCCGGCGTGATGACTCCTTCATTCAGGGATGACGAGACCGGTGGCAAGCGTCTTGCGGCCGAGGAGTTTGCGAGGCTTTGGGGTTTGAGGTTTTAGCGGTTGATTCCCCTTGGAACCGTCATGCACCTGAACACCCTCTTCTTGTGCTGGACCTTACGGAAACCATGTGCCAAAAGCAGCTCCTGGACAGGCTACTGCTGCACCCCCCATTCGCCATTCACATTGCCTTGCCCTGTGGTACGGGTAGCCGAGCCCGAGAAAGGCCCATAAGCAAGAAGGCGAGATTGGCAGGTGCCCCGGAGCCTGTCCCGCTGAGGGACAACGATCACATTTTGGGCTTACCGAACCTGTCGGACACCGACAAGGCCCGGGTTCGCAAGGCCAATGAGCTGTGTCGCTTCGTTGTCGAGCTGATTCGTGCCTTACCTTCTTCCACTTTTGTGAGCATCGAGAATCCCAATAATTCCTGGATTTGGGGAGTGCTAGCTTTCTTCGTGCAAGAATCTCGAGACCCTGCCCTACTCGAGAAATGGCGTCGCATGATCGATGTGCGCTTTCATAATTGCATGAAGGGAGGTCGACGACCCAAGCACAGTCGCTTTCGTTGCAGTGATTCTCGCTTGTCTAGCATGGCTGTGGAGTGCGACAATCAACATAGGCACGATCCCTACCTGGTCTATCAGACCGGCCGACAGTGGAGATTCAGTACCGCTGAAGAGGCGGAATATCCGCCTCAACTTTGCCAGGAGGTGTCGCAACTGCTGGCCGCGACAGCGGGTTTGCCATCCTGCTTAGAACCGCCGGCAGGTCCACGCGCTGTCTGGCCCCAACCACGTGGGAGCCACAAGCTAATCCCTGAGTTCCTCGAGTTTCGCACCGAGGCTCCCCTAGATAGGCCCTTTAAGGAGTTTACCTCGGGTTTAGGGGGTGGTTCCGGGAGGTTCGGGGTGTACAGAACGCCTACCGAGTTCATCGATTGTGCCCTAAAGCTCAGCCATCCCTTTGATACCCAGCACTGCGTCCCAGATGCCGTCAAAAGGAACATCTTCAGACGGCTGACCGAAGGACCATCTGCTTTTGCTGAAGAGAGGCTCAGACTTTACAACAGGCTCAACCAGATGGAGAAAGAACTTCGCTACGAGGAGGCGCGACTGCATTCAACCCTGCCTGACCACACTCGCGAAGTCATCAAGGGAAAGAACCTTCTGCTATGGGCACAATTGCTGAAGGAGACCAAATTTCCTGATGAAGGAGTCTTCGACTTGATGATGGGCGTCGATTTGGTGGGCAAGCCAGACAAATCACCCTTGTTTGAAACCAAGGATTCGCCGGCTACATCCACACCTGAGCTTCTCCTTGAATCAGCTCGCTGGCGCAGAGAGAGGCTCAAGGGCCGTGATCCGCACGAGAAAGATCCGGAGGCGACCTGGCAACTCTGGGATTGCACTCTAAAGGACCGGGACGACGGCTTTCTCACAGGGCCGTTCTACGATGAGGACGAAGTGAAAAAGCACCTTGGAGTAGAGGAGTTCGTCTGTTCGAGAAGGTTCGTCATCGAGCAGGGCACGCCGGAGAGGCCCAAACTTCGACCGATCGACAATTACAAGGAGGGCGGGGTCAACGAAGCTTACCATAGCCTCGAGAAACTCGCCTTGTTTGATGTCAACTGGATGACGGCGATGGCGACTTACATCGCGCGGGTCTCGGATGGAACTGGCGATTTGGAGATTGTTCTCAGCACGGGAGAAATTCTACACGGAGAGCTGCACTCTTCTTGGAAAGCTAAGAAGCCCGTCTGGCAGGGGCGAACGCTGGATCTGGAAAAGGCGTATCGTCAAGTTCCACTTTCAACGGAGTCGCTACGACTGGGGGTAGTCATGGTCACGGACCCTAACAGCGGCAAGCCTTGCTACTTCGTGGCCCAGAGTTTACCCTTCGGTGCATCATCGTCTGTGTTTGCTTTCAACAGGCTGTCAAGATCGATCTTGCATCTGAGCTGGAACTTGATTGGCATGATCTCAGGATGCTTCTACGACGACTTCCCGCTTCTTGAAATCCAATCTTCTGCGAAGCTTGTCTCTGAATCATTCGAACACCTGCTACGGAAGATCGGGTGGAGGTATTCCAACGACCCGGCCAAAACCTCGCCTTTCAATGAGAGCTTCGATCTACTTGGAATACGTCTCAATGCAGGTGACATCTCCAATGGCGTCGTGGTGCTCCAAAACAAGGCATCAAGGCTGGAGAAGATGAAAGATACTTTCATCCGCATGGCGTTGAAGGGTGAATGGGATCTGCGACAGATTCAGTCACTGCAAGGGCAAGTGAACTTCGCTTTGGGCTTTGCCTCGGGAAGAGCATTTAAGATGCTGCAGCGTGCACTTGGAAGCTTCATCAGGAATCCTGAAGATCGCAGCGCGAGTGACTTCCAGACACTTTGCGAGTTCGGGATCCGCTTGATTGACGAGTGCAAACTTCGCCTGCCGAGGGCCGGAACAACCGGTGTTGATCTTCACTGATGCAGCTTACGAAAAAGGTGTCGCCACCTTCGGCGTGGTGGTCCTGGATCCCTTCACTTCTTCTAAGCTAGTGGCCGGAGGTCGCATACCGAAGACTCTGGTGGAATTCTGGAAGCTTGACAGCCCCGAACAGGTGATTGCTCAGGCTGAAGCTTTCGCCGTGGTCCTCGCGAGAGAAGCTTTCAGAAATTTCATCCATGGCAGGCGAACCATTTACTTCATCGACAACGAGGGAGCGAGAGAAGTCTTGATCAAAGGGGCGAGCAAGTCACGCACGCTCCTGCTTTTGGGAGCACGCTTCTTCGAGATGGAAAACCTGGATCAAAGCTTGACGTGGTTAGAGAGGGTTCCATCTGCTAGCAATGTGGCAGATGGTCCGAGTCGTGGTGAGATTGCCGAGACGGCGAAAGTCATTGGTGGCACGATCGTTGATCTACAGGAGAAGGTAGAAGAACTCGGTGAGTTGTGCAAATCAACTGTACAGATACCTTGGAAGCTGCTCAAGTAAGACCGGTCACTTTTAAAGGGGGTTATGCGTGTTGGGGCAGAATCGGTATCATGCACAAATGAGCGATTGCGAATCCTACCGCATATTTGCTCGTGCCTCAACCGAAACCCGAAACAGTGGCACAAACCACATCTTACGTTTCTGACTCGCCCTACCGTGTGAGACCCCCGACTGGAAAAAAGACCGAGTCCGAGCGCGAGCATTCTGTGAAGAATTTTACAAATACATAATTTGCGATTCTCAAATATCGATTGATTGAATTCGCATATTTGTATGGCATGCGATTCTCAAATATCGATTGATTCAACTCTCACTTTATCGATAAATCAAATCATAGTGAAAACAGAAAGACGGCGATTTCGCGGAGCGACTAAGTTGTCTTTTCTGTTTTCATAGCTGCCGGTCCAGCAGCGCAATGATTAATTATTTATCGTTTTGTTTCATGTTCTGAGATGTGAGATTTGACTCACAACTTTTATTTGAAACCAATTTGCATTTAACACAACTTCACTCAAACAACACGTGTATTTCGATTGCACATGTGATTGAAGTTGAACCATGCGTGCATACCCGCGCCGCTTCCAAACAGCATGGCTCATCGCACACGTGCAACACGACACTTGGTCTGCTCATGAGCCACGCACTTGGGCATGCACTGTGCAGAGCTTTGCTAAGAATTTTCACCCACCCTCCCGCCCTTGAGGGTTTTCACCCTATTTCTCGGTGGGGGGGTTATGCGTGTTGGGGCAGAATCGGTATCATGCACAAATGAGCGATTGCGAATCCTACCGCATATTTGCTCGTGCCTCAACCGAAACCCGAAACAGTGGCACAAACCACATCTTACGTTTCTGACTCGCCCTACCGTGTGAGACCCCCGACTGGAAAAAAGACCGAGTCCGAGCGCGAGCATTCTGTGAAGAATTTTACAAATACATAATTTGCGATTCTCAAATATCGATTGATTGAATTCGCATATTTGTATGGCATGCGATTCTCAAATATCGATTGATTCAACTCTCACTTTATCGATAAATCAAATCATTGTGAAAACAGAAAGACATGCAGCGTGCGATGATTCAGTCTGTGAGTTCAGTCAGTGTACATGTTCTTCCTGCTGTGTAGTGCGCTTGGCTTGAAAACATAACCAAATAAAGCAACCAGCCGTGCCAACAAGCTTGCCGTATCGCATTCTTGGACATGTGTAGGGCTTGGTCTGCATGTGGATGGTACCCGTCACAGGAAGCGTGGTACAGTCGAGTGACGACACAGGCTACTTGGGTGATCTCAGCAAGAAGGATCCTGTCGGTTGACGGAGGAAATCTTGCACCATCTGCCTAGTAACAAGTGACACGACGCTTGAGCATATCCCCACACCCCCTTTTTAACATTGAAGATGATGGATACGGAGGTGGTGCAAGATTTTTGTTACTGGAACCCACGGCACTTCCGACGATCACCGGTCAATGTTAAAAAGGGGGCGTGGGGTGTCTGCTTGGCTTGGCCACTTAAACTGGTGCAAGATTTCCTCCATCAACAGTACCTTAAACTGTTGTCACAGTAAGCAATATGCAAGTGATGACAAGCCACAATATCGATCCCTCACCATCTCACCATGTGTGTCGGTGTGTCACTGTGTGTCAAGGACCGAGGTACTTGTAAGACAGATTTTAGGAAACGCAGGTTTTCCTTGCATTTCGGCAGAGTAATAAGTGTTAACTGCATAGTGTGCCTTTTCTACAGTTAACACTCAGTTAACACTCAGTTAACACTACAGTTAACACTACAGTTAACACTGCCGAAATGCCGCAAAAACCAGCATTTTGCAGAATACACGCGTTTTGAAAAGAAAAACTGCTAGTTCTAGTGTCTTTTATACACATTTGACGAAAATGCTGGTTTTCCCAGCATTTCGGCAGTGTTAACTGTAGTGTTAACTGTAGTGTTAACTGAGTGTTAACTGAGTGTTAACTGAGCGTTAACTGTGGGAAATGTAAGGAATTTACACTAAGCCAGAATACACGAGGAGCTCGCCAGTGGGAGTCCCACCGGAGTGCCGCGGAGCTGCATGGAGCAGACTTGGATCGAGGTGGAGCACCCGGGTCAGGGTGCAAAAAAAGTCGCATCCTGGAAGCCTGCTACCACAGTCGGCTTGCGTGGTCTTGGGTCGTACCTATAGCAACCAGCCGTGCCAACAAGCTTGCCGTATCGCATTCTTGGACATGTATAGGGCTTGGTCTGCATGTGGATGGTACCCGTCACAGGAAGCGTGGTACAGTCGAGTGACGACACAGGCTACTTGGGTGATCTCAGCAAGAAGGATCCTGTCGGTACCTTAAACTGTTGTCACAGTAAGCAATATGCAAGTGATGACAAGCCACAATATCGATCCCTCACCATCTCACCATGTGTGTCGGTGTGTCACTGTGTGTCAAGGACCGAGGTACTTGTAAGACAGATTTTAGGAAACGCAGGTTTTCCTTGCATTTCGGCAGAGTAATAAGTGTTAACTGCATAGTGTGCCTTTTCTACAGTTAGAGTAATAAGTGTTAACTGCATAGTGTGCCTTTTCTACAGTTAACACTCAGTTAACACTCAGTTAACACTACAGTTAACACTACAGTTAACACTGCCGAAATGCCGCAAAAACCAGCATTTTGCAGAATACACGCGTTTTGAAAAGAAAAACTGCTAGTTCTAGTGTCTTTTATACACATTTGACGAAAATGCTGGTTTTCCCAGCATTTCGGCAGTGTTAACTGTAGTGTTAACTGTAGTGTTAACTGAGTGTTAACTGAGTGTTAACTGAGCGTTAACTGTGGGAAATGTAAGGAATTTACACTAAGCCAGAATACACGAGGAGCTCGCCAGTGGGAGTCCCACCGGAGTGCCGCGGAGCTGCATGGAGCAGACTTGGATCGAGGTGGAGCACCCGGGTCAGGGTGCAAAAAAAGTCGCATCCTGGAAGCCTGCTACCACAGTCGGCTTGCGTGGTCTTGGGTCGTACCTATAGCAACCAGCCGTGCCAACAAGCTTGCCGTATCGCATTCTTGGACATGTATAGGGCTTGGTCTGCATGTGGATGGTACCCGTCACAGGAAGCGTGGTACAGTCGAGTGACGACACAGGCTACTTGGGTGATCTCAGCAAGAAGGATCCTGTCGGTACCTTAAACTGTTGTCACAGTAAGCAATATGCAAGTGATGACAAGCCACAATATCGATCCCTCACCATCTCACCATGTGTGTCGGTGTGTCACTGTGTGTCAAGGACCGAGGTACTTGTAAGACAGATTTTAGGAAACGCAGGTTTTCCTTGCATTTCGGCAGAGTAATAAGTGTTAACTGCATAGTGTGCCTTTTCTACAGTTAGAGTAATAAGTGTTAACTGCATAGTGTGCCTTTTCTACAGTTAACACTCAGTTAACACTCAGTTAACACTACAGTTAACACTACAGTTAACACTGCCGAAATGCCGCAAAAACCAGCATTTTGCAGAATACACGCGTTTTGAAAAGAAAAACTGCTAGTTCTAGTGTCTTTTATACACATTTGACGAAAATGCTGGTTTTCCCAGCATTTCGGCTGTAGTGTTAACTGTAGTGTTAACTGAGTGTTAACTGAGTGTTAACTGAGCGTTAACTGTGGGAAATGTAAGGAATTTACACTAAGCCAGAATACACGAGGAGCTCGCCAGTGGGAGTCCCACCGGAGTGCCGCGGAGCTGCATGGAGCAGACTTGGATCGAGGTGGAGCACCCGGGTCAGGGTGCAAAAAAAGTCGCATCCTGGAAGCCTGCTACCACAGTCGGCTTGCGTGGTCTTGGGTCGTACCTATAGCAACCAGCCGTGCCAACAAGCTTGCCGTATCGCATTCTTGGACATGTGTAGGGCTTGGTCTGCATGTGGATGGTACCCGTCACAGGAAGCGTGGTACAGTCGAGTGACGACACAGGCTACTTGGGTGATCTCAGCAAGAAGGATCCTGTCGGTTGACGGAGGAAATCTTGCACCATCTGCCTAGTAACAAGTGACACGACGCTTGAGCATATCCCCACACCCCCTTTTTAACATTGAAGATGATGGATACGGAGGTGGTGCAAGATTTTTGTTACTGGAACCCACGGCACTTCCGACGATCACCGGTCAATGTTAAAAAGGGGGCGTGGGGTGTCTGCTTGGCTTGGCCACTTAAACTGGTGCAAGATTTCCTCCATCAACAGTACCTTAAACTGTTGTCACAGTAAGCAATATGCAAGTGATGACAAGCCACAATATCGATCCCTCACCATCTCACCATGTGTGTCGGTGTGTCACTGTGTGTCAAGGACCGAGGTACTTGTAAGACAGATTTTAGGAAACGCAGGTTTTCCTTGCATTTCGGCAGAGTAATAAGTGTTAACTGCATAGTGTGCCTTTTCTACAGTTAACACTCAGTTAACACTCAGTTAACACTACAGTTAACACTACAGTTAACACTGCCGAAATGCCGCAAAAACCAGCATTTTGCAGAATACACGCGTTTTGAAAAGAAAAACTGCTAGTTTTAGTGTCTTTTATACACATTTGACGAAAATGCTGGTTTTCCCAGCATTTCGGCAGTGTTAACTGTAGTGTTAACTGTAGTGTTAACTGAGTGTTAACTGAGTGTTAACTGAGCGTTAACTGTGGGAAATGTTATTAATTTACACTAAGCCAGAATACACGAGGAGCTCGCCAGTGGGAGTCCCACCGGAGTGCCGCGGAGCTGCATGGAGCAGACTTGGATCGAGGTGGAGCACCCGGGTCAGGGTGCAAAAAAAGTCGCATCCTGGAAGCCTGCTACCACAGTCGGCTTGCGTGGTCTTGGGTCGTACCTATAGCAACCAGCCGTGCCAACAAGCTTGCCGTATCGCATTCTTGGACATGTATAGGGCTTGGTCTGCATGTGGATGGTACCCGTCACAGGAAGCGTGGTACAGTCGAGTGACGACACAGGCTACTTGGGTGATCTCAGCAAGAA